GGGGAGGGGTGAAGTGACCATCCCAGAGAATTGGGTGTGAGGGGGAGGGGAGTTAGTTGGGTTTGTGCTGCATGTTAAACCTGAAATCGCAGCCCCTCCTTTTACATTGCAAACCCATTTTAAATGGCACGGGTGCTTGGTATGGGAAATGAGGGCAGAACTGTTTGAAACCATCCCCACATGTTAAGAAGGTTAAAAAAGCCCAAAGACTATATGTCTTACCATGGCTGCCTGCAAGCTGAAATCTGTGTCCTGGCACTGCGTGAGTGATCTCTCACACCAAACCAGGAGACTCTCAATATAAGAGGAAAAATGCGACCTTGTAACGAAAGCACATGTGCTGTGTGATGTTGTGAACAGCAAAATCTAACGTGAAAGAGTCTACCCATTGTTCTCTAAAATGTATCTTTTTTAACAACCTCTCCCTTCTCCACCAGCTGCAAATCTTACTCCTTCGCAGAGGCTAGTGAATATTCGAAGAAGGAAGCGAAGGACGCGTGACGAAATGTTTACTGAACTTCAGACTGCCTCCCACGCTGACAGAGCACAGCTGAATGCGTGGAGGCAGTCAATGACTGATTTTAAAAAAGCCCAATATGAGCGAGAGGAGAGGTGGCGTGCTGAAGATGAGAAGTTGCGTGCTGAAACGCGGGCTGAAGAGGAGAGGTGGCGTCAACTTGTAATCAGAAAGCAAGAGTCGATGCTCCGGCTGCTGGAGCATCAAAGTGATATGCTCCTGCGTATGGTTGAGCTGCAGGAAAGGCAGCAGGAGCAGAGACCGCCGCTACAGCCCCTCTGTAACCAGCAGCCATCCTCCCCAGGTCCCATTGCCTCCTCACCCAGACGCCCAAGAACACGGTGGGGGGGCCTTCGGCCACCCACTCACTCCACCCTAGATGATTTCCATAGCAATAAGTTTTAAAGTTTTAAATTGGAGTGTGTCCTTTTCCTTCCCTCCTCCCCCACCCATCCCGGGCTACCTTTCCAATTATCCCCCTAGTTGTGTGCTGAATTAATAAAGAATGCATGAATGTGAAGTAACAATGACTTTATTGCCTCTGCAAGTGGTGCTCGAAGGGGGGAGGGTGGTAGGGGAGGGTGGGGTGGTTGGTTTGCAGGGAAGTAGAGTTAACAGGGTGGTGGGGGAGGGGCAGAGGGTTCATCAAGGAGCAACAAACAGAAGTTTCACTCCGTAGCCTGGCCAGTCACAAAACTGGTTTTCAACGCTTCTCTGATGCGCACCGCGCCCTGCTGTGCTCCTCTAACCGCCCTGGTGTCTGGCTGCGCGTAATCAGCGGCCAGGCGATTTGCCTCAACCTCCCACCCCGCCATAAATGTCTCCCCCTTACTTTCACATATATTGTGGAGCGCACAGCAAGTAGCAATAACAATGGGGAGATTCTTTTCGTTAAGGTCTGAGCGAGTCAGTAAGCTGCGCCAGCGCGCTTTTAAACGGCCAAATGCACATTCCACCACCATTCGGCACTTGCTCAGCCTGTAGTTGAACAGGTCCTGACTGCTGTCCAGGCTGCCTGTGTATGGCTTCATGAGCCATGGCATTAAGGGGTAGGCTGGGTCCCCAAGGATCACGATAGGCATTTCAACATCCCCAACGGTTATTTTCTGGTCTGGGAAGAAAGTCCCTTCCTCCAGCTTTCGAAACAGAAGAGACTGCCTGAAGACGCGAGCATCATGTACTCTTCCCGGCCAGCCCACGTTGATGTCGGTGAAACGTCCCTTGTGATCCACCAGGGCTTGCAGCAGCATTGAAAAGTACCCCTTGCGGTTTATGTAGTCGGTGGCTTGGTGCGCCGGTGCCAAGATAGGGATATGGGTTCCGTCTATCGCCCCACCACAGTTTGGGAATCCCATTGCAGCAAAGCCATCCACTATGGTCTGCACGTTTCCCAGAGTCACTACCCTTGATATCACCAGGTCTCTCATTGCCCTGGCAACTTGGATCACAGCAGCCCCCACAGTAGATTTGCCCACTCCAAATTGATTCCCGACTGACCGGTAGCTGTCTGGCGTTGCAAGCTTCCACAGGGCTATCGCCACTCGCTTCTCCACTGTGAGGGCTGCTCTCATCCTGGTATTCTGGCGCTTCAGGGCAGGGGAAAGCAAGTCACAAAGTTCCATGAAAGTGCCCTTACGCATGCGAAAGTTTCGCAGCCACTGGGCATCGTCCCAGACCTGCAACACGATGCGGTCCCACCACTCTGTGCTTGTTTCCCGGGCCCAGAATCGGCGGTCCACGGCATGAACCTGCCCCAGTAACACCAGGATTTCCACATTGCTGGGGCCTGTGCCTTGTGAGAGGTCCATGTCAATTTCCTCATCACTATCGTCGCCGCGCTGCAATCGCCTCCTCCTCAGCTGGTCCTGGTTTGGCTTTGGCATGTCCAGGAGGCTCTGCATGTTTTCCAGGACAATGCGCGTGGTGTTCATAGTGCTCATAATTGCCGCGGTGATCTGAGCGGGCTCCATGATCCCAGTGCTGGCTATGGCGTCTGGTCTGAAAAAAGGCGCGAAAGTAATATCTGACGGACCAGGGGAAGAAGGGAGGGAGGGAGAGAGGGAGGGAGGGAGGGGCGAGTGACGACATGGCATACAGGTACAGGGAATTAAAATCAAGAAAGGTGGCTTTGCATCAGGGAGAAACACAAACAACTGTCACACAGAATGCCCCCCCCCCCCCAAAGATTGAACTCAAAAGCCTGGGTTTAGCAGGAGGAAGGGGGGGAAGCAAATGAATACAGAATAAATCTATTTTTTACATCTTAAGACGACGGTGCAGCATGACTGATAGCCCTTGGCATTTTCTGGGTGCTTGGCAGCAAATACTGGGCGCTTGGCAGTTAGCCTTCAGGTCTATTGCACGATCTGATACCCAGTATGACAACGATGGATACCAGTCGTAATATACTATCTACTGCCCAAAAGGCAAGGGGTTGCTGCTGTGTAGCAATGTTGCCCCATCCTGCGCATACTACGTCTGATAACCATCATCATCAAGGCAAGGGGGCTGGTGCAATGCAGCCCCACGGCTGCCAGCCCCATGTCTGCCAGCACCCAGATAGCCCTTGGCCTCTTCTGGGTGCTTAGCAGACAATATTGGGCACTTGGCAGAAAATAGCATACTACGACTGATAACCATCATTGTCTGCCCGGGTGCCCATGATCGACAGCCACTGCAGTACGATGACGACGGTTACCAGTCGTAATATACCATCTTCTACCAAAAGGCAAGGGGCTGGTGCAATGCAGCCCTACGGCTGCCAGCCCCACGGCTGCCTGCACCCAGATCGCCAATGAAGGCTACCAGTCATGCTGCACCGTCTACCGCCAAAAGGCAGTAAGCTGCTGCTGCTGTTTAGCAATGCAGTCCCACGTTTGCCGGCACCCGGAAGACATATGGTGACGGTGAGCTGAGCTGAGCGGGCTCAATGCTTGGCGTGGTATGTTGTCTGCACAGGTAACCCAGGTAAAAAGGCGCGAATCTATTGTCTGCCGTTGCTGTGACGGCGGGGGAGGGGCCTGACGCAATGTACCCAGAACCCCTCGCGGCACTGCTTTGCATCATCCGGGCATTGCGATCTCAACCCATAATTCCAATGGGCGCCGGAGGCTCCGGGAACTGTGGGATAGGTACCATAGTGCAATGCGCCGGAAGTCGACGCTAGCCTCGGTACTGTGGACGCGGTCCGCCGACTTCATGCACTTAGAGCATTTTAGGTGGGGACACACACAATCGGCTGCATACAACCGGTTTCTATAAAACCGGCTTCTATAAATCCGACCTAATTCTGTAGTGTAGACATAGCCTATGTGGTCTCGGTGCCACTAGATGGGACAGAACACCACACCCAGGAGGTGTGCGGGTTACATATTTCCCCTAGCTGAGGAAGTGTGTTCAGAGCTTCAGAGTCTTCCCAGTGGAAATCCCAGACAAGCCCCCACTTGTAACACCAACAGACCCCGGTCGTCGACGGGCAGGATCGAACCAGGGTCCTTTGGAGCTTAGTGCATGAGCCTCTACTCATGAGCTAAAAGCCAAGTGGCTGTTAGCTAAGGCTGTAGAGCAGACTCATTTTATCTCTCTTTCTCTAAGTGGTCTCAGGGTATGTCTATACTACCCATTGGATCGGTGGGCAGCAATCGATTCACAGGGGTCTATTTATCACGTCTAGTCTAGACGGGATAAATTGACCCGACTGCTCTCCCGTCGACTCCTGTACTCCACCAGCACCAGAGGCACAGGCGGAGTCGATGGGGGAGTGGCAGCCGTCGACTCACCGCAGTGAAGACTCTGCGGTGAGTAGATCTAAGTACATTGACTTCAACTACGTTATTCAAGTAGCTGAAGTTGTGTAACTTAGATCGACCCCCCCGTGTAGACCAAGCCTTAGTGCCACGAGATGGGACAGAACACTACACCCAGGAGGTGTGTGGATTACACTATGCAGGTGTAACCCCATCCAGGTCAATGGGGCGTTACAGCTGTTTAAATCGGAAGTAACACAGTGGCAAACCAGGCTCCTGTTTGTGAATGGTACCACAATGTCTTACCAGTTCTGGAGTTTTGCGACTGTTTAATAGTGGCAGGGCAGGGCCATGGCACTGACTTCCCAGCTCGCCTGACTGTATGCGCTTTGGGGTGTTGTTCTCAACAGTGGGGCTCCTGGGCTGCAGGGTTTGCCTATGACTCTCCCCTGTGAGGAGAATTAAGTTTCTGCCCCCTCAAGCAACGAAGAGGCGGCAAGATGGCACACTGGAGCTAGGGCCCGGAGAGAGCCGACGTGGCGCCGCTACGGCCCGGGAGAGCCAATGTGGGGCGGTGCTACAGCCCGGTGCTGGGAGCCGCTTCGAGTGGGCGGCGCAAAGGCCCGAGAGGAAGCAGAGGGCAGGCATTGGGCGGCGCTAAAGCCGGGAGTGGCGCTAGGGCCCAGAGGGAGCCGGCGTAAGGCGGGGGTGGGCTCGCGATCTGTGCCCGCGCGCGGGGTGGGGGGTGAGGGTCTCGCGCTCTAGACTCTGCCTCTCTTAGAGCCGCGCGCCTGGCGGTTGGGGCGGCGGGTCTGGCGCGCGGGGTACGTGTCCCGCTGCAGCGGCTGGTGGGGGCGGCGGGGGCTGCCCCCTCCCCGGCTCGGCGCTGTGAGTGGGCGGAAGATGGCGCTGGGCGGATGGAAATCCTAATGACGGTCTCCAAAATCGCCTCTATCTGTACCATGGTGAGTGAGGGGGCCGGCCGGGCACCCGCGGGGCCTGTGCTGGAGGGAGGTGATATAAGGGGGCCGGGCGCCGGGTGTGAGGGGGAGCCTCCTGGCGAGGCGGGCTCGAGGGGGCGGGTTCTGGGGCGCCTGTGCATGCTTCGCGGAGGGGGGTGGGGGGTGAGCCAGGCACTGAATCGGGGGGTGGGTTTGGAATTGGGACGGACGGTAGCGCGTGCGCTGCGGGGGCGGGTGTGTTGGGAAAAGGCGTGAGGGGGGCGCTTCCTTCCCTTGCAAACAGGTGACACGGGTTATGTTGGGTTCGAAAACCGAGCTCCTCGGAGCGGTGCTTCCTCTCTGCCTGGGTTTTGTGTGTTCATGTAGAAGAGTGTGCCGCTCGCCGTGGGAGGGAGCGAGGGTGGGAATCAAAAACTGGGTGTAGTTAATCGGCTTTAGAGAATGCAGCATTGAGGCAAGCATTAATGGCAATGGGGGTGGGGAAGCGTAATATGGACATATGGTGAAACTTGATTTAAATAACCACACAGGAAACTAGGAATCATTAGTTAACCAGTAGAGAGAAGTCTTTTTCAAAATTGTACTGGAAATCTTGCAGATGCTTTAAAATATTTGCTCAAGCTGGTTTTTATTGAGTATAGGCTTTCTAGAGATCTTGATTTCCCCCCTCCCCCAACTCCGCATCATATTTTTTTTGTCATCAGTAGTTAGTACATAATGCCTCACTAATGTTGTGTGGGCTTGGTTGTCATGTCACAGTGGCAGTCTGGTGCACCCTTGGTTACCCTTAAAAGCTGCATTAGCATCCAGTGTAGTTAGTCTTGTGCAATATGGCACACATACTGGTATGTAGTCTGAACTGTTTGCATCGGTCCAAGTCCTGATGGGAACACATCTTTCAGTGTTTATTTTTAATTGGACTTCATTCTTGATTATTTGTGAAGAAAGAGTTATGAGCACACTAATTGGTGTAATAGAACTTTTCTATCTCTAACTAAAAAAAATTATGAATTTAGTGCTTTTTGAGAGTGCTGAACTTTGAGACCAAGCTATCCTCTAACCTGTAGAAATAATCTCTCCTCAGAAATGAGGCACGTTGGCAGACCATTGTAGGAAATCTTGCATTCCACTCTTCTGTAAAACTGTACTATGAATGAAGGAGCTATGTACACATCTCCTTTTGAGAGCACAAAAATGTGAATTTAGAAGTTAGAGATTGCAGGAGTCGGGAGAGACCTATTGGATCATTCCCTACAGTACTTTCTCTAGGCTTTTTTCTGTCTAGTTATAAACTTCTCAAGCAGTGGGGCTTCCTCCACTTCCCATGGGAGACTGTTCTGCAGTTTTTATGAATTTCTGTATTATTGTCTTAATATATCAAGCAAAAGTTTCAAAGGAGGCCCAAACTATTTTAAATGAATTACTTTCTGTAGCTATGTCAGCTAAAATTGCCAGTAATGGTTGCTAGTCTACTGTAGTGACAGATGTTTGTGGTATGAGAGAGCACACAAAGTACTTTCAGGTAAGCTACTGAACAGTCATCAGGTATGGGTTGGATCTGAACAAGTGATGTAGGAGAGGACTCTACATTCTGTGTTGTCACCTAAGCCATTTTGTTTCAGTTAAATCTCACGATGAACTAAAATATATGTCTATACATAACTAAGACATTTTTACATCGGGTACATATGTTCAGTCATATGGTTTATTAACTCATGATGTGCTTTGGGATAAAGCCGTTATAAAATTTAAAATGAATTTTGAAATGTCTGTGCTTTATTAGGATCTTGGGATAGGACGGCTAGATGAAGATACCCGTTGTAAATTTAAACACAGCAGCTTTACTAGGTAATCTAGGATCTTATTTACAATCATAGTGTAAATTAATGCACACATTATGCTGAAGCTGGTCCCAACAGTATAGTTATAATGCTGAGATAAAAGTTCTTAGTTTAAGGGGTGTTTTAAATCTTTATTTTGTAAAAAAAATTAAAAGTATTCAAAATTTACATTTACAATTTGACTCTTTCATGGTGGCTTGATGAAAATTGGGTTGATACAGAGAGAATAAGGGATAAAGGAGTTAAGGAGAGCTGGCTGTTTCTCAATGGGACAGTAGTGAAGGCATAATTGCAAACTCTTCTGATGCGGAGATAAAATAGGAAGAATAGGAAAAACAACGAGGCGTCCTTGTGGCACCTTAGAGACTAACAAATTTATTTGGGCATAGGCTTTCGTGGGCTAAACCCCACTTCATCAGATACATGGAGTGGAACATACAGTAGGAAACTGTAAATACGCAGCATATGAAAAGATGGGAGTTGCCTTACCAAGTGGGGGATCAGTGCTAACGAGCCAATTCAATTAAGTTGGAAGTGGGCTATTCTCAACAGTTGACAAGAAGGAATGGAAATCACTTTCTTAGTGCCAATGAGTCCAGTGTAAACAAGATGGCCCATTTCAAACAGTTGACAGGAAGGTGTGAGTATTTAGCAAGGGGAAATAAGTTTTTGTAAAGACAATGAGGAGTACTTGTGGCACTTAGAGATTAACAAATTTATTTAGTTTTTGTAGTGACCCATCCACTCCCAGTCTTTATTCAGGCCTAATTTGATGGTGTCCAGTTTGCAAATTAATTCCAGTTCTGCAGTTTCTTGTTGGAATCTGTTTTTGAAGTTTTTTTTGTTGAAGAATTGCCACTTTTAAGTCTGTTTATTGAGTGACCAGGGAGATTGAAGTGTTTTCCTACTGGTTTTTGAATGTTATAATTCCTGATGTCAGATTTGTGTCCATTTATTCTTTTGCGTAGAGACTGTTCGGTTTGGCCAATGTATGTGGCAGAGGTGCATTGCTGGCACATTATGGCATATATCACATTAGTAGATGTGCAGGTGACTGAGGCCCTGATGGTGTGGCTGATGTGGTTAGGTTCTATGATGGTGTCCCTTGAATAGATATATGGACAGAGTTGGCACTGGGGTTTGTTGCAGGGTTTGGTTCCTGGGTTAGTGTTTTTGTTGTGTGGTGTGTAGGTCCTGGTGTATATTTGCTTCAGGTTGGGGTACTGTCTGTAAGCGAGGACTGTTCTGTCTCCCAAGGTCCGTGAGAGTGAGGGATCGTCCTTCAGGATAGGTTGTAGATCCTTGACGATGCGCTGGAGAGGTTTTAGTTGGGGACTGTAGGTGACGGCTAGTGACGTTCTGTTACTTTCTTTGTTGGGCCTGTCTTGTAGTAGGTGACTTCTGGGTACCCTTCTGGCTCTGTCAATCTGATTCTTCACTTCACCAGGTGGGTATTGCAGTTTTAAGAACGATTGAGAGAGATCCTGTAGGTGTTTGTCTCTGTCTGAGGGATTGGAGCAAATGCGGTTGTATCTTAGAGCTTGGCTGTAGACAATGGATTGTGTGATGTGATCTGGATGAAAGCTGGAGGCATGTAGGTAAGTATAGCAGTCAGTAGGTTTCCGGTATAGGGTGGTGGTTATGTGACCATCACTTATTAGCACTGTAGTGTCTAGGAAGTGGATCTCTTGTGTGGACTGGTCCAGGGTGAGGTTGATGGTGAGGTGGAAATTGTTGCAATCCTGGTGGAATTAAGGATTAAGGGCACAAAATGAATTACACCTAGCAAAGGACATAAAAAGCAATAAGAAGAGGTTCCTTAAATACATTTTGATTGAAAGAAAGACAAAGGAAAGTGTAGGTACTCTACTTTCTGGGGACGGCACGCTAATAACTATGACAGCAAGAAGGCTGAGGTGTTTACTGAGTTTAACAAAATAAGCATTAATCTTCACTAGAAAATTAAGGGTGACTGGATACTTAGCACAATATTAACAAGGGGAAAGGAACACATTCCAAAATAGGGAAAAACTAGGTTAAAGAATGTTTAGATAAGTTAGGTATATTCAAGTCAGCAGGGCCTAATGAAATTCACTCTACAGCAGTGGTTCTCAATCTAGGGCCGCCGCTTGTTCAGGGAAAGCCCCTGGCGGGCCGGGCCCGTTTGTTTACCTGCCGTGTCCGCAGGTTCGGCCCATCGCGGCTCTCACTGGCCGCGATTTGCTGTTCCAGGCCAACGGGGGCTGCAGGAAGGGCGGCTAGGAAGTCCCTTGGCCCACGCCGCTTCCCTGCTCTAGAGTACTTAAGGAGCTAGCCAAAGCAATCATGGAACTGTTAGTGATCATCTTTGAGAACTCAGAGGACAGGTGAGATCCCAGAGGACTGGAAAAGGGCAAACCTACTACCTATCTTTAAAAAGGGGGACAAAGAGGACCTGGGGAATCATAAATCAGTCAACTTAACTTCAATACATGGAAAGATAGTGGAATAAATATTAATCAGTTTGTAAGCACCTAGAGGATAATAGGATTATAAGGAATAGTCAATATGGATTTGTCAAGAACAGAGTCACAAACCTAGTGGATAGGGGGAAAGCAATAGACATGATATATCTTGATTTTAGTAAGGCTTTTGACACAGTTCCACATTCTCATAAGATGACTAGGGAAATCTGGTCTAGATAAAATTACTAGAAGGTGGGTGCACAACTGGTTGAAAAATTGTACTCAAAGAGTAGTTATCAATGGTTCGTTGTCTAATTGGGAGGGCTTATCTAATGGGGTCCAACAGGGGTCAGCCCTGAGTGTGGTACTGTAATGCTTCCCAAGAGCATCCAGAATTATGAGGCACCTCGCTTCCACCTGCCTTTAACAAGAGGAAGTCTTGTCTGTGCCTGCTGTGGATCAGCTCCCTGACTCCAACATCCTCTAGCAACATGAGCACTAACTTCCACACCTCAGCAGGCCTGTCTCTGTCTGTGAAGGTTAATGATAGGCTTCCCTTTTGAGCACCCAGGCCCTGGTCCACTGAACACTCTCAGAAGTCTCAGATTTGCTACTCTCAAAGGAATAGCAACACAAGTTTATTAGTTTTAATTCAGGATTGACACTTTTCTTAACACAAATTTAAACTTATTCTTGTTTTCACTATAAATATATCTAT